AGTAAGACACACACCCCATATCGGGGAATCTTGGACTAGTGTCCCAGCTAGTGACCTTATGCTTACCTGACCTCCCTGTGGATCTGTAGCAAGACCATCTGTGGAATAAAACACACTGCTTTGAAGATCACAGTGGACAGATCCAAATCCACAAATCCAAAACCCCATCTAACAAATACTGGCCTAAATTTGGACGAAACTCCCTCTGTAATCTGTTAAGAATCTGTATCCTTCAACAGTCCTCTCGAAGGAAATGTTGGATTTGTCTACAGTGAAGTTACATTACAGACGTGTTTTATTTAGTCAGAGGTCAATGCACTAATCTGAATCCTGTTGTACAAGTCCTGCTTCTATTTGAGTGAATGCAATCATGTGCATTACACGTCTGGTTGTACATCTCTTTATACAGATTAACACTGAAAAGCTCTCATATGTGGTAAATAATAGAGATTGCATATGAAGTTGGCAGAGTACAGGTTTGGAGGTGCAGCTTTAAATTTTAATTTCATCATGATCCATTGTTGCAATTACTACGAAAAGTGCTGGAGTTTTAAGCTGTGCACTCTGAGCTGTGAAGTTGACTGTGGTTATAGATACATATTTACAAAAGTTAGAATTTGACTATTTGGTGATAATGTAGAAGCTTCATCTTCTATCTATACAATACAAAATCTCTTGAAGAAACAAAGTCGAGACACAGATTCGAGGAAAATTCCCAGGACTTCTTTTTATTAAGAGAATTTCAGAACATAAGAGAGGGACCAGACACCTGCATTTGTCAGAGAAGGTTTCCAAATTCGATCGTTTTAAAAAAACCAGAGTGTTTAGAAAAGCTGACATGACAGCGTGGATGGAGCAGGAGCTGTTTTACACGCAGGGTCGTCTAGGAGACGGGTCGGAGGCAATCGCTGTTCCCGGAATGTTTCACATGTTCGTCTTCCTCTTTCTTATGGACAACACTCTTCAATACGCTTTTTTTTTTTTTTTTAAACACAATTTCAATGAAAAAAAAAAAAAAAAAAATCCAAAAACAAGACCATGAGACAGAAGCAAAGGGAACTCACTGCACATTTAGAGGTCTAAAAGAATCACCCACATTAACATGGCTGAACCGTTAATAAAACATGGATAAAGGCTGAACTGTAGGGGGAGGAAGGTCTAATCTGTGGAGGAAGAAGAGGGGAGGAGGGGGAAGATCAGGGAAGGGCGGAAAAACACAGGAATACACAACTCACAACATAGCCAATCCGGCAGGGACGCACTTTCTACACCAAACAAGCCTTCAACAATCATGAAATGCCATTTAAAAAAGATTTTAGTGTGTTCATCTTGCTTGCAGACACTTGATATGACCACTGCAAATCTGCAAGGCGCTCCATAATCAGCTTTGCTTTTTGTGCTAAAAATCTGTACGGATACTTATAAAATCATTGATAAAAATATTCCTCTGTTAACAATACGCCTTGGAGGGAAACCATGTGAGAGACTTGGGGGGGCTGGCTGGCTGGCTGGGGGGTTCAGAGGGGAGGGATTGTAGAGGAGGAGGAAGCTTGGGCAGTGGTGCTACTCGGACTTGGCCTCCTCCTTGGCCTCCTCAGGGGCTGCCTCCACCTGTGGGACAAAGAAAACAGGCCAAGGTCAAAACTTTTGATTCTGTATATCTTCAGTCTATGATGGCCAACTTGAGAACTTTTTCGTCCACTCACCTCGTTGGTCTTGGCCTCTCCGTTCTCAGAGTGGTTTTCCTCGTTTGCCTCTGCCTCTGCGTTCTCCTTTGCCTTCTTGGTCTTCTTGTCCTCCTTCTTATCATTCACAGCCTTTTCTTTCTGCAGTGGCAACAGGACAAGCCGTTAGCAGGCTGAATATTCACACACTACCTGTGTCTTGTAATGCAAGTTAACTTAGAACCCGGGCCAGCGTCTCCTACCTTTGCCGCCTTCTTGACCTTTGGTTCCGGCTTGGGTGGGGCCGGTTTCTGCAAAAAGAAAAAGGGAAAGGAATGAAGAAACAGCTACAATTACACACTAAAGCACTGTCTTTGCTAATCTACTAGTTTTCTCATTATTCTGAAGACATGAGAGGACTTTGGCCGCCATAAGACACTTTTTTAAATGGATGAAAAAGAATTTAAGTCTAAAATATTCCCCAAAAGTTAACCTCTGTGAATAAAGATACTGTCAGAGGCTTTCTAACCTTAACATGACAGTCCTTTAATCACTTAATTAAGGAATTTAGACAATATTAAGATACTAAAAGTAACAATTCTGAGAGCCTCTATTATGCCAGCTACTGGTATTTAGTTAAAACTACAAGTAGATACATGTGCAGATGCTTTAAGTGATCAGTCCTGCAATTTTTACTTCCTCTAACGTTTATAAATCAAGTTTTAATTGTGTTATAATTGATTTTATCATCTCTGATGTATTTCTGCCAACTTTATTGCTAACTAATGCACTACATGAATATTCTTTAGTGATTCTTCAGGTCTGTAATGTAAAAATAACATGTTTTGTAGTTTTGTATATCAATTAATCAAGCTAAAGTATTCATGATACGACAAACTATTTCTATACTTGTTTTTGCTTCTCTTAAAGCAGTGTTTGGCTTGATTTAATGAGTTTCATGTGCGTAACCACTTTTAAGAATTCCACTATGCTTTACATGTTAATTAACTGCATCTGCTAATGTAAATGAGTTTCGTGACATTGTATGTGTGTCTTCTTACCGCTGATAACCGAGCTGATCTCCTCTGGGGCTGAAACAGAACAAAGACTATTATCAAGGGGCTTTTATTTTGATTGAGACTGTATTCAGGAAACACACATTTGAATTTAATACCAAAGTACTTTCTTTTAGACAGTTGCCCACACATATCCCACATACTCATTAAAACTGAATTTTTAGCACATGTATGAGGTGTTGCTTAACGTGCCCGCAGCTTACCTCCTCCTTTTCTCCTCCTTCTGTTCCCTGTGCACAAGAAACACAAATATAACAGGTTAAAATACAAAAAAATCACATACAGCATTATTAAGAGTTTATATGGTGTTTATATTAACAGGAAACAGCTGTTAAATGCTTCAGGCACATATTACGAATAATTACAGACCTGCTGAAAAAACTTTTTAGTTTCATGTGAAAACAAAAAAATATTTCAAATACAGCTAAATTTAATGGATTAGAGCCCAGGAATGTAGGGGTAATGTGTCATTTCAGTAATAGGCTGTGAGAACTCAGCCATGCGGGCCTCTGGAACCATATTTTGAGGGCCCAGGCCCTGCTTTTCCCTTTCACTCCCCCATCTCTTTCTCTCATTCAATGCATGAAGCTCAGATTTGAAAGCTGGCGCGGGAGTCTTTGAGAAGGGGGAGGGACCTGCTATGGCTCGCGCGCGCCACCGGGCGGAAGAGCCACGCCATCGCAGCCATTTGGGACTATGAACAAAGAGAGAAAATATATAATTTTATCGAAACGCGACGGCGAATGTTTGTTTTTGCGGTCAAAATGCAAAGTAAAGGCACTAAAGCATTTTCTGGCGGCACTTTTGGCCGGTTTGGTGGCGAAATGGCGATAAGTGAAGCGTTTGTTCTCGGTAGGTCGGCGACGAAGGTGGACAAGAGCTGCAAAGCATGGCTGCTGCTTGTGCTTTAACTGCATGGAGACCGAAAGAGACTTCTGACTCCCCAAAGGACAGCGGCTCTCACATGAAAACGCGTTTTAAAGGCCGTGTCCGAGCAGGAAAATATTCATTCCAACACATAAAAAATGTATATTATATCTACAAAATAGGCAAAAATTACCAGCGAGAAATAACGGTTATACATTGCGTTATAATTAAGTAATGTCTCAGAGGGATGTCTTCACAATCGTTTGCATTGCATTAATAGCTGATATCCCCCTCAAACTATTTTTATTATTTTGAGAATACGTACCTTTCTCTTGGGCATGTTGATCTCTTGGAGGTTTTCTTACAAATACAACTAAAAACTGTTTTTCTTAGTGGGTTCAGTGCATGTGAAGACGAGTGTCTCCCTTATGCTCGGCAGTGTAGTAAACACACTGGAACAGAGAGGCGAGTGGTTGAATGGGGGGAGGGGTGCGGCTAAAGGCATGATTGATAGGCTCTCGGCCAATCAGGTGACGCCATTCGGGGCTGCAGAACACTTGGAATTTTGGAGCCGGTGATGTTCTGGGGTCTGCGCGAATGGCTTCTTGCAGGGAGAGATGGGAGGAAGCCTGCAAGAATGAAAGGATTGCATTCGAGGACATATTGCCTTCATACAAGTGTGATCGTTTACTGTCAGAGAGAGAGGCCGCGAGGCTAACCTGTATGCACGGTTACACAGGCCCCGGCGGCGGGCAACATGCCCCGGTGTAAAGCCATGCAATCCACGCTGGCTCGTCTAAAAGCCAGGGCTCACATCTGCAGCAGCCAGCGAGGAGACATTTCTACATAAATTCACTTCGTGTTTGAGTCCAATATGGCGCCCACTCCTCTCCGACACATTTTTTTTGTTTGTCAGTCGGCTTTCCTAAATTCGTTTCAGGGAAAAGCCTTGCGTCGTCTGCCCCAGACGCCTGCAGGGGGCCCACAAAGCCCGTCTAATCAATGTGGCTGCTAAAGACGGCGCTTCCAGAGGCTGTGCTGTTACACAAAAGCTCTCAGAAGTGTTCAAAAAAAAATCATTGCAGATTTTTATACCTTGTTCACTTTTATAACATAACCATAACCACCATACCAACAACACATGCAACGGTGCATGTGTGCAGCGTTTGCAGAACAATAGCCAAAGTCTGACTTGCAGACAATGGGGTCGAAGCTAAAATTCAGACAATATACCCTCACTGTGTTGCCAGCATGATAGGCCTAGTGCCTTTCTGTGCGTGCGTGTACGTGTCTCTGAGTGTGTGCTCTTGCTCTACAGAGAGAGAGAAAGAGAGAGAGAGAGTAGAAGGGGCGGGGAGGCAGAGTAGAGGCGGAGGAGGAATGCCAAGCTCCATCCAGTGCTGAGAACCGGAGCATTTGCGCAGATAGTCTGCGCTGCCTACAACAGACACACAGCATTTCAGCCTGGGAAGTTTGTTGTTGTTGTTGTGTTTTTGTCTCACTGCCGAGCAATCCGCCTGCACAGTGTCTGCAAGGAGCAAGGCAACCAACCAACCGCTGCTTTACCGGAGTCCAGTCAGCATCAGGGATTTAACATGGTGATCAAAGTGTACATAGCATCGTCCTCTGGATCCACTTCGGTAAGGGACAAAAGAACGGCATGGCTTTTATATAACCGGGGTTTTAGCTGGGTTTATCTGCTGCATCCAGCTTGTTAGGCAGGAGAAAGGAGGCTGAACTTTTATTGAACTCACTAACTGATGTCCATCCGGCTGTCATCCTCTCAGTCTGGAGTGGTCTGACTCATCAGTAAGCATGCAGCTCTGCCCTCCTCAAGACTTTGGACACAGATGGAGTCTGTCAAAGTCTTTCCCCTCTCTCCCTCTCTCTCTCTCTCTCTCTCTCTCTTTGCCCTTATTTAAACTTTGTCACAGAGGCAGACGTAGAGAGGAAGTTTGAGGTGGGCAGCTGAGAGTATAGGTGCTTCCTGGAGCGACAATTGAATGCTTTTGCAAATGGAACCAGGCTGAAAACAGGAAAGGCATGTAGTAAAAATCAATAATTGTACTCCAAATTGCCCACTCTGTTACCTGATGCCAGGACAGACAGCTTGTGCATCTGAATGTTTGTTTCACTGTGCTGCAGCCTGGAGGATCTTCAGCTTCATTTTTTGCCAGTTTCTTCCAGACTGGAGAGGAATGATGGTGATGCAATTCTCCAGGGCCCCTTTTCAGATATGCAGCTGCAGCCCAGGAATACTTAGGCACTGTTTAGGACATGTTGGAGGTCTGGAACAGCCTAGACATGCTATACTACAGTAGGGGTTCAGTAAACCTTAAATTCTGGCTATAACATGTCATTTTTTCAGTCAAATCTATGTTGCTCACAGCTATTGCAATATTCCTGACATAATCTGTGATGTAAAGTATTTCTAGCATTTAAGGATCTGTCTCTCATAGTTGAGGATGTTACTAAATTGTTCAATAGTGCAAATTTGAAAGGTGCTGTGATGGAAATAGCACAGGAATAACAGTCTTATATCAAAATCCTCACTAAAAAAAACCTCAAAAGTCGCTTAAATGAAAGTCACTTGTCACATCTGGTGGTGTAAATCACCTTTGGGATAATTTACCCTCATTAAGCAGCTCACGCACAGAGGAAATGATCGAACAGAACACAGAGCCTCTTCTCAGTTGGACAGGATTGAATTACTTTATTGCTCGTCCAGAGAAGTGACATTTGCAAAGGCTCAGCCGCAGCAGTCTTACAGGACGGGAGCTTCCTATAAAGTGAGAGCAGTCGGAGTGTAGAGCCGGTGATGCCATCACTGTGCTGGAGCCTGTCTGTGAAAATGCATTACCTCTCATTGATCTGTCTTTGGAAGAGTCTGCCAGAACTAGTGGGCGAGGTTATGTTCTCTTAAATGCTGCATAGACACACTTATACTCACATTATCATATTCATTCTCCGTCTTTTTTTTATTTTTTTATTTGGCAGATCAGCAGCAGTGTACTGACTAAACCAAGCTGCCATAAACACATCTTATCTGTTTTATCTTGATCTGGTAGCTCATTTGTTTGAATTAATTTGCATATGAGACATTCTGTCACATTATAGAGTTTGTGGGGATTCACCTCTATGTCTGATTAGGACAGTATTTATTTTGAAGTCTCTCCCTGATGCAGTGAGAACATGTTTGTGAAATGGAGTGCATTTGCTGATCGACTGAATGACAAATTGTGGTCGAAACTCTGCCCTCACCGAGCTTGCAGTTCGATTGCATCACTGACACAGCAATGTGATTTGCATTCCACTATCCAGCACTGTCTGCTGCTACATTAATCAGTCCAATTTAGTTAAGCATGTGAATGGGGCACCAGCCTCAACAGGGAGACAAGTAAGTATATCAAAACCAACATTTAAAGCTCATGCCCCACTTAGGAAACAACTGCAGGTCAGTGAGGGAGACAGTGTTAGCCAGAGGGATGCATCAGATTCAGCAGCTGACGAGCTACAACATTCAGCATTATTCAGACAGATGTATTTTCTAAAGACATTACGTTTTGGTTCATGTTCAAGCACTTTAATAGCTTTTGGTGCTTATTGATTTTATGCAGAATGTGATTCACATAACAGCAGGTTGTTATTATGAATGGTTTTATGTAACTGCAAGGCTCAAACATCTCAAGAACCAAGTTTTCTAGGGTTTGATGGACAAAAGTCTTAAATTCCTAATATAAAATAACAACAGCTGATTCACAAAAGATGTGTTCCACAAAGCTCAGTTAGAGAGAAGTACAGTATGTTAATAACAGATAATGAAGAACTCAGGTGAGCCATGTCAACCAACTGTGGGTATGTTGAATAGATTAGGTTGGGTGTGTCGGCTCTTCCTCTATACTTGTATATACTTATTGCAGTGTAATGTAATGGTCTTGGAATAAATGTTGTGTAAAACGGTAGTTTGAAGAGGAATATAACATAAATGCCTTATAATATAATGCTATTTGGAGAAATCTTACAAACTACAGTCTTGCATATTATCATTGTGTGGAATCAACACCTTTGTGACAGAAAAAAAGGGGGTATGATAAATTACAAAATCAGATTTTAGCCACAGCTAGTGAGAGTTAGTGTCCCTGAGCAAAGCACTGATTGCCAGCTTATTCTCTCCTGACCTGTGACCTGTGCTAATCCAATGTGAAGGGTGGTATCCCTGCAAACTGAATGAGAGTTGACATCATCGTATTTCCACCCAGTAATGAGAAGCAGAGTGTTTGAGTCACCTGAAAAATGGTGTTGTGACTCGCTGTCAATTCTCTAGAGACACGTCTAGTGTTACCGGCAGTGGCTTTGTAAAGATTAGGTCATACTACATACACTTCTCTTTGTATAAACCTTAGCTGTGACAAAAATGTAAAGAGAATTCTTATGAGATTTGTACACACGGTATCTGTGAGGGATTAGCACCAGTTTCCTCTTCACCTGGTTACATTGAGGCCAAATTTGCATTGCAAACCTTGAAATGCTTTGAAATACAGACATGTAAATGCATACATGCAAACACACACACGCACACACACGCACACACACACACACACACACATGTGCGTGCAAACAAACCTACAGCCGTGTATCTAGACTAGAGCACTAGGCCAACTGGGCAAACTGAAACAAATTCTGTGAAAAGAGCACATTTACTGCCTGCAGCCACAGTATTGTACAGTTTCCTCATTGCCACAATAAGCACACTAAGAATCAGCAATAACTTTCACACTGAACATTCTCGGTGAGATTGTGCATATGTGTCGTATCTGTGTATGCCCAAGTTTTAAGCTTTCTACCTCACAGTCTCTGATTTACTGGACTTTCTCCTCTGTTGGTTTGACATTTATGGTGTATAGGTCAAGCTTGAGTTGGCAGTGAGTCAGTTAGTTGGTATAACAGGTCATTGTTTGTTTTTTTTTGTTTTTTTTGGCCTTTTGCTGTTGTTTCACCTTTAGGCAGCAGTGAGGGAACTCAGCCAGTGCAGCAGTGTAAGGCTCTTTTGTAACAATGTTGTAATGCTGACTGAGCTCAGGATTGGGTGGAGGCTACAGTTGTTGCTGCTGAAATTCCAGTAAGTGACTGTTTTCAGCACAAATCAGACTTGATCTAATCAAGACAAAACCTTTATTCCTTACAAACACACAGGGCCGGGGCTGATTCATGCTTCCTTTAGTTCAGAGAGTGGATTGTCCTGCCTTTGAATGTTGGACTGGAGAGGTCATTTAGTCTTACAGTATCTGTGAAGAAATTCTTTGACAAATCCAGTTTAAATGTCTTTTCTTTTTCATCTGAGTGAATTGAGCACAAATTGACCCCAGCCCCAAGTCAACATCACTGATTGAATCAGTCTCCAGCATATTGATCCAAGCCTGTGTTGTGGATATAGTGCATCCGATCAATGCCTGCCATTGTCTGGCAACTGTTAATGCCAGAGTCCTGACCTTTCTTCTGGGACTGATCAAGTCCGACTCTCATCTCATTGCTCTGTTGCCACAACTCTCACATGACGATGATGATGGTTATCTGGATTGTAAACCACACAACATATGATACAGATTCCTTTTCCACACTTGTGTTTTACTCAGGTTATAGTCAAAAATAATGATCAGTGCAACAATATGTATGTTCTGCTAAAACCTGCCTCTGATCTATTGTGTTGTTGTTGGACTGTTGTCTAAAGTAGAATGAAAAAATAGCAGTTATTGAATCTGCAACTTGAGCTCTGCAGATCATATTGTTGCAGGAACAACCAAATGCATTTGTCCTCATTCTAGACCGCCTTACTTTGGTGAATCATCTAATGATACAGCAGTTCTTCCATGGGTGTGTCCACGGACTGTCTTGGGAATGTGATAACAGTGTCAGGTCACTGCTGATAAAAGTGTTATCTGTATGCAGTTATTAACAGATTTGTGCCAAATCATGTTTCTCTCATTTGTGTATCAATGAACTAAAATCAGAAGGAAAATTTGAAATCAGTTTAGTAAAATTTTGTGTGAGTGACAATTTACCTTTACACCATTACCCAAAACTAAGAATCTACAGGAAGCTGTGTGAGGGCTGTGCATTGGTTCTTTCAGATAAATGCAAACACCAGCGTGCTAACATCAGCACAATGACAATGCTAACATGCTGGTGTTTAGCAGGTTTCACGTTTGCTATGTTCACAATCTTAGTTTAGCGCTTTGCTAATTAACACTAAACACAGAGTACAGCAGAGGCCGATGGGAGCAGCATTAGTTTTGCAGTGTTTTGGTCATAACCCAAAGTTCAAATTCAAATTTGATCTGATGATGGCTGGAAGAGCAGTGTGGGGATAACCAAAGTTATTACAATTCATCTTGAGGGGGACACAAATGCCTGTGCCAATCCATATAATCATACTCACAGTGGTGCTAGAGGAAAAGTCAAGGAATCATCAAAGTCATTAGGGTACATCCTCTGGGAGCCATGAATGTCAGCACAGAATTTGGTGCTATTCTGTCCAGTAGATATGGAAATATTTTACAGGATATGTAAAAACTCTCACCTGTTGGTAGCACTAGAGGAAAAGTGATTGGATCATCAGTGACACCAGGATTCATCGTCTGGGGACCATGAATGTGTGTACAAAATTTCATGGCAATCCATCCAATAGGCCTAGTTGTTGAGACATTTCTGTCAACACGAATGACAAAAGTTGTGGATCGACTGGCGTAGCCTAGCTAAAAACACCACTACTTACTACCTGTATCACGTGTGGACATAACAAACAACAAAAGGACACTGTTCACCTGGTTTTGCATCATGTTAAGCTCAGTGTCGATATGTGTTTGCATACGCAGACAAGCTGTGAGAAAGCATGGATTATGGAAATCAAATTTGAGGCGTTCAGCTCCTGTCAGTTGACTGTCTGCAGGCTTGACTCTGGCTCTGCTCCCTCACTCTCTGTCTGTCTAGTTATTTTGTGGCATTCCAGACTCATAGATAAGGAGTGAATAAGGCAAGGAAACAAGAGCAGAGTAGTTGTTTATTACCACACCCAAAAAAAACAGGGACAGTCTGGTTTCTTCCATAAAAACACAAAAACAAATCATCAGGATTCCCACTGAAGACACCACAGAGCAATACAAATTGCTGGAAGGGGCAAAGCTGAGAACTCTCACTGTGCAATTACAGTTAGTGGCAGATGGTATGTGGCCAGTTTGCCCTACAAATTAATTTTCCTTGGCAACAGTACAATGCAGGCTTGTTGGGGGAATGGTCAGCGTGCACCAAAGTGGAGCAGAATAGAGGAGAAAGCGGAAAGATCCCTATGTTTAACTTGTCATTTTAGCAATTTAGGTTCAAGTTTGTCAAATAAGAGACAACATGTGGAGTGAGTGTGAAAAGGAGGCTGTGCAGATTCCTACCTCAGAGAGAGCATTGTCTCTGTGTGTGTTTGGAGAGACAGAGTGAGTCAAAGTGAGTCTGAGCTCATGGCGTTCCACTTGGCTGCTTTGTCCCAGGCAGGTGGAGAGAGAGTGAGAGCTGGTTTTTTAGGACTTTGGCCTTGGGAGTGCAACGGCCATTAAATGATTCAAACTGTGCGGCAGCTAATCTGCCGGCATTGTCAGCTCCCTCATTTCCATGCCTCAGTGTTGTTTCAGCAGATGGCTGTTAAATAATCCACCTGTCTGTCTCGTCTGCACGCCATAAAGCAGGGTGCAGCTCTCGCATGGAGTTCTCTGGACTGACATGAGGACAATTAGTCCAATATTAAATGTATAACTGTATTATGTTTTATCATGGTGTTGGCTCAGTTTCATTTTAAGTGTGTGAATGTGTGTGTGTGTGCAGCAGAGGCTGAATGAGTGTGTCTCCTTGCAGCAGGCCTTATTTGGCTTGTGTTTGACCAGTTACCTCCTCTCGAGTCCCAGAGGAGCTCTTGTTTCCGTCTGGCCTTGTAGGGCCATCCTCCCTCTTAAACACACCCACTGAGAGCTCATTGGACCACAATTTCATACAGTAAATCACACACACACATCTATATAGATAGAGGCAGAAGCAGGAATCTGTAGCATCTTTCATTATCTTGCTGTGTGTGACTGTGTTTGGGTTACCTTGTGATATAGCAAAGGACACAGCTGATAGTTCACTATAAATGAGGTGAGATCCCAAAGGATGTCACCGTGTTATTCTAGACACACTTTCATTTTCTTTGCAGGGATTTGTTCTCAGATGAAAGGTTTGCAGTTTTGCACCCAGCAGGATGGACTGCTTTAAGTGTCACAAATGACACAAGTGTTAATGTTAAATATATGGTAGCAATACAACAGAACTGCTTTTTTTTTTTTTTTTTTGAGCATGGAGTCCCTGTCAGAAATAATCCCATCTGCATAAAAGTCTCAGATAGTGAGAAAGACAGCAACTCTCACGTGTGAACTGTCAACACAGTCTTTCTTTGCAGGAAATTTACCCACTTTATTGTATAAAAATTCTAGGTTTGGGCATTCTGTCAGATTAAAAGTATGCAACATGTCACATATGCCTTCGAAATGGTTCAATTTTTAACAATAAATTGATATTTACTGTTAAAATGAAAGAGTATGGCGGGAGTCCAGTCTTGGGAGTTGCTGTCCTCCTCACTATCTGGCATTTTTGATGCAGATAAAACACAATGTGTCCCTGCTTAGCCTTGCCTGAGTTCACCCTCTTCAATACTCTTGCACTTCATTCACTTGTAAGCAAACGAGTGGTAACTTAGTAACAGAGCAGCCTGCATTCTCTGTAGTGTAATTTCTCACAGCAGCGTAGAAGTGTTCTTATTTTTGCAGCAGACTGACGGTGACGGTGAACTGAGGCCCTTATGCTTCCTCATATGGCTGAAGTTAACACACACGTTTAACTGACAACTTCCCCTGTCTCATCCCTCCCCCCCCACACAGATCAAGAAGCAGCAGCAGGATGTGATGGGCTTCCTGGCAGCCAATAAGATCGAGTTCGAGGAGTGTGACATCGCAGCCAATGAGGCCAACAGGAAATGGATGAGAGAGAATATTCCGGAGGAGTCCAGGCCGGCCACAGGGAACCCTCTGCCCCCACAGATATTTAATGAAAGCAAATATTGCGGGGTGAGACACATGCAGACAGGAGCAATGCAATTACAGTGTTACTCTGATAGGTCACACACACTGAGGAAGCTCATGTCCTCAGTACACACAAAAGAATCATGGAGGGCTTTGAATGCTGATTCTGCTCTTATGTTTAAAGCTGTGCTAATTAATATTTTTATATTAACAATAAATCAAATCATTAATGTGAAAGGTGTCGCTCATAGTGAAGAAGTCTGCAGTTCAAAGCATTTTAGTGTCTTTTAGCTCATTGTTTTGTTCTTTGCAGCCCACAACTTTACTGTTCTGGTTCCCTCTCACCACTTTCATCAGTCACACCAACTTTCTAGATGCAACAGGCAGCTGTTTCTTTGAAAAAGCTCTGGTAACCAGATATATCCCTCAGAAGTTGGTGGAGATGTGAATTTTGGCCCCGAAACTGACGGGTGGACGGAAACAGGATGCTAACGTTCCTCCATATCTGCTGGATTTTGTAAAAAAGGAAACTGCTGGCCATGAAATTAATTATGGTTACTTTACATTTTCAATAATATTAAATTAAATTAAAATGAAAGGGCTTTCTACCAGATTTTTTTCCCTGGCAGTATATGGAAGTCTTCAAAACAGCCAGTTGAAGGAATAGTTTAACATTGATCAAAGACCGATACCAATCTTTTATCTGTTAAACATGAAGCTGGTTAGCTTAGTTTAGCAGTTTAGTAGTAGTAGTTACTAGTTTAGAGACCTGAGACGGAGAGAAATGGCTAGAGTGGGTTTGTCAGAAGGTAACAAATTCTGCCTAAAGCTTACACTGTGTCTCGTTTGTTGAACATGCACAAAACCCATAGTGCCAAAACGACAAGGAGGCCTCGTTAAAACAAGCAACTTGTTGTTTATTTCACTTTGGTTTATGTCCAGATTAAACAAACACAATATAAAATGTAGATAAATCTAGACCTGCTTCCAGTCTTTGTGCTAAGTAAAACTAACTGTCAACTGGCTTAGTTGAAATGGACAAAAATGAGTCTGGTATTGATCTTCTCATTTATCAGAACTGAAAATTCCCAGACTATGTTTTTAGCTATTCAGAACTGACTTGGGGGTATGGGATTACGAAGAAAGGTTTTTTGACATCTGACCTCAGTATTTCTAACATCTTAGCTATGGCCCTGATCAGATATACTCTACCTTGTACCCTAGCCTGGTGTCCTGTGTTACTCCCATCCGACAGACACTGGGCCCTCAGCCTGAGTGCACTGGGGCATCATGCTGTGCAGCTAATGGATGGCTGGATGTGAAGTTGCACATGCAGAATGGGCCATATTGAATGACACAGGCAAAGAGAGCATCATTTCCCAGGATACTTGCAGCTGTAGGACTCCTTTTGAAAAATGTGTTTGTGTGTGTACTGGTATGTGAGTGTGGGAGAAAAAGGAGGGAAACAAAGGAATGAGAGGGAGTGGGGGATCAAGAATGAGAGAGACTGTAGACAGCTAAACAGTAAATGGGTGAATGTGCTAGTTTGTTTACACAGGGTTGCTTTCTCAAAGACAATACCCTCCCATCAGATTGACTACAGAGGCCTGTTCTTCGACAAATAACAGAACCTCGACTGTTTCTCATGGATTCAGATTGTTGCCCTCAGGCGCTGCTCCAAAGTTTGCCTCACATTATCATTCCTTTGGTGGCAGTTCAGATTTAGGCGAGCTGATCCACTGAATCGATCTGCATCTAAACTTCTCTCTCCGTGTCTTCCCCTTCTTTCTCAGAACTATGAGGCCTTCTTCGATGCCAGAGAGGACAATGCTGTGTATGCATTTCTGGGTCTGACTGCTCCCCCAGGCTCTAAGGTATAGCTTATGAACACAAACACTCACTGATAGCTGTCCTTTCTTTGAACTGCATTCCTACAGCCTCACCATGTTTCCTGTAAAACCGGCTTATGTGCCCAAATATATATTTATCCTCGCTGTGTGATTTCCATACAGAAAACACACATATTACGTAATACATCTGTTCATGATAATCTAACACCCAAGCAGGCCTCTTCTCCTCTTCCTCTTCCTACTGCACACTGGCGCCTCCTCTCGGTCACCACAGGAACTACAGGGAGGTGTGCCAGTTACCATAGAAACAGAGGGGTTTTCCTCTGAGCTGTGGCAGGGGATATATAAACCAGTATCCTCCATTTTAATTTAACACGCTCTCTCCCTCTTGTTCTCCCCCTCTGTCTCTCTCCAGGAGGCCGAGGCTCTAGCGAAGAAAGCACAGCAGTAGCAGCTTTGCACCATTTCTACCTGAGACCTCAGGCTTAGACATAGACCCAGACCCTGGACCCAGACTGACCTGGAAAAGATCCAGGAAAAAAAAGAAGCAACATTTCACTTAGCTTATAAATATGTGGACGGTTTTGATTTTTCAGTATGTTTTTTTTTATTACTCTGTGTTCAGCTGTGCCTTTTCAGCTGTAGTGAAAGGAGGTACTAAAGCAGAGAATTTTGGGGTATCTAAAAACAGCTCTGCCTCCTCCATTAACCTCAGCCTGCTAAGCCTATTGGCCTAATGACATGTCAATCAACCATACGCATGAATGTGTAGCTTCCTGTCGATCAACACATCATGAGATACAAAAAAATGTGCACACCTTGAAAAATTGTGTCACAGATTCATTGTTTGGCCAACAGAATGTCATCCATGTTAACATTAGATCATAAAACATCATTATTATTTATGTAACCCGACAGGTTTAATCAGTATATCACTTATCTGTTGAATTCTGGAAACATCGAATCAAATGTTGTGCTCCTGCCAGTCATGTTGTCGCCAAAACCTTGCAGCACTTTCTGTAGGAGTTGTCTAATACAATCCCATTCTCTGTGTTTTGTTTTACTTTATATTGTCTTAATGCTGTTTTAATAGCAAACCTTTTTCTACAAAATGATATATGTTTGAAAATGATGATACATGCCAAAATGTACAAGTATGCAAACACAGAGGGATGTGAAATGGACTTTTTTTTTTTTTTTTGCTGTTTTTGTTGTTAAGGAGAGTTGGTAGCTGTTTCATTTCGCTGGTGGTATCCTGTTTCACATTGTTTTGTAAATCCCTGTCTTACATAAGTTGATACCTTCCCTAAAATAAAATAGAAATAAAACTGCAAGCCTGACTCTTGATATTCTTTTCCTGTTAGTAATACTCATGAAATACATCTTGCCTCCTCATTATGAACTCTCCTCTCTTCTCTTCAAGAACTGTTTTCTTTACAGTGGATAATGCCAAATCTACTTTGAGTAATTAAAAAGTTAGTGAGAATGATATATACAGTAGTCCTGCAAGAGGAAGACCAGCAGTTGGTCATAATGCTGCTACTACAATGTATTACATGTTTTGCAGTTGCACTGATTTTTATGTATCCAGCACCTATCCCACAGAGGTTTTGTAGATGCACCCATGACTTTGATTAACCAGATGTTATCAGTGTTTTTCACTTGTGGCTTTCTACAAAGAACAGTGTCTGGTTGGGGGCCCTTGTCAGGTTTCATTCAGTTATTAGTTCCACATAAGAGAGATGTTTCCCCTATTCACTTCTCACATGGTTTTAAACTGTTTGAAACCCACATAGATTAAACTCTTCAATATCCTCAAAAAAGCAAAGATTAGAGAAACTTTTTCTTTTTTCCCCAACCTGTTAATCATGTCAAGACCCCACGAATATGGAGTCCTGCCCCCAGGATCAGAACCACTAAACTGCATAACTGTACAGTAGTAAAATGAGCTCCATCTTAAGTAGCTTAGAACAGTAAAATGCTACTTACATAGTGATGCCACAGTATAAACAGTTAGCAATCTTATATCAGAATACATCAGTCGCAGGGGGCTGAATCACCGTTTTTGCTAATATACTTGAAAGGAGCTATTTTTAAGTTTTGCTCTCCTCGCTAGCATTTAAGGCTATTTACATACCAGTCTTGCCTAGAGCTTCAGCCATGGTTGCATTGACGAAACGAGATGTTATAACACACCCTCAGAGCAGCTGCTTCTTCTTCAGGGCAGACTGGACTCTGTCGATTCGGCCGGGAAGAAGTGATAGAAATAGAATAGAGTACTTTTCACCTCTGGAGACAGCTGTGATGGAGTGAGTAAAGGAATGAAGGTTGATGCTGAACTGGCAACATTTCTTCTAGACTGGTAAGTAAACAGCTGTTAATACTAATGTGGGCTATGTAGCATTAGCAAAACTATTGCTTGACAAGAGCCTCGGGCATAGTTGTGTTTACAAGACAAGAGGTTATAATATGTCCTGTGAGAAGCGCTACGTCTTCAGGACAGATTGGAGGCTACAGTGAGTTGCTATCGGAAAGTGACATGAGAGGCCGGGGGTTGGTTAGTTAGCGTGCTAACCTCAGCAGAGGTAAAGACGTGATAGAGACAAGAGTTAACATTTGCCTTACTTTTCCACCGTTAGACAGCTCTAGGCAAGTAAAGGAATGAAGTTTGATACTGAACTCACAACATTTCTTCTAGACTGTTAAGTAAACAGCTGTTAATGCTAATGTGGGCTACGTAGCATAACAAAACTTACAAATAGCTCCTTTTAAGTTCTTTTTGCTAATACTGTACTTTACCATGTGCTATAATTTAAGTAGAATTTTCAGTGTAAGATTTTTACTATTAATGGGGTATTTTAAGATTGTTGTATTGTTGCTGAAAGCGTAAAGGATTGTAGGAGAATTATAAGGCCCAAAGATGTATGACTTGATATCACTTAGTTGATGCCAACAGGAGTACAAGAGCCAGTGTAGGAGAATAACAAACATAACAATAACAAAAGATTGTCAAGACCAGACTAAAACGCAGGATGCAGATGCAGGGTTTTCAGGTTCTTCAATAAAAAAGTCTTTATTGAGGGAAACAGGTTCTGAACTCCAAGACAGAGTAAACAAAGCAGGCTATGAAATTTTTCCTCTGATGCACTTCTTACAAAATGGAAGAAGCGTGGCTGCAAAACTACCAAAATAATAATCGCTCCACTAAAAGGAGGAAACCCAAAAGACAATATAAAATGTTAACAGTAACAGAAAATCACTCCCGCTACGGAGGAAAAAGAAGTAGCAAAATGAGGTAGAGACAACAGAAAACTCTCCTGAAAATTGGAGGCACTAATCTATGAAAAGGTAAGCAAACAAAGGATCACTCCACACGGAGGAAACAAAAGGCTGTGAAAACATTAACTATGGAATAAAACTAAGATATGAAACTTACAACTCAAAATCTCTCTCTTGGAGGAATCAGACCAAAATTCATGAAACGACTAAGGTCAAGACTGTGGAAAGGCTGGGGTGAACGCAGGTAGACAAGGACGAAGACGAACACACTGGCAACAAGACAAAGGGAGACGCAGACTATTTGAACACATGGAGGTAATGAGAAACAGGTGGACACAATCGGGAATCAGGGAAGATAATCAGACCGGTGACACGTGAGGAAGGGCAAGTGACCTGAAACGAGAAGAGAGTTACTTTTCAACATCAAACAAGAAATGACAGGACAAAACATGGAGACAGGACAAAAACCCAACTTGACCTCACCGCGGTGTGACAAAGATATGGTTTGGCGGCCAACAGAGTGGGCCAAGACACTTTGACCGGTTCGGGAGAACATCTGGAAAATTAGGAATAAACATAACGTCAAGGCCATGACCAATGGGAGCACAGTGATCTGGCAAGGGGCCACTGTGTTCTGCCAGGAAGAGCACAGAGACCTGGGTGAGGGCCAGGAAAACCTAATTGGTTATAATTAGGCAAGAGTAGTAAGACGAAGCCAAAAGATTGGAAAAACAGGTATAGCCATCTGGGATATAAAAGAACATGTTTCGTTCTGTGTTGTGGTTGTTGTCTCCGTCTATGACTGCGAGTAGGCCGTTGTGAATAAAGAGACTCTCCGCTTTGACACCTGTGTCTTGACTGTCTGATTCCTTTTTTGATCCACTGCTTCTCGCCACAACAGGATCTGAATACTTCTGGCCCTTAGTTTAACTTTTCTCAGCTTGTGTGTAACAACGAATTTCAGTTATAGTTTAATAAAGGAAGTAGACTATCTAGTGGTGGGTGGAGGGGCCAGCTCTCATTTGCAGAAGTGAAACAGGCCTAAAGAACATTTCAGTGGCAAACGCTATCACATTGGGTGTGCCTAAGACTTACACCCAGAAGAAGCTAAAGAGAGACATTAAAGAAGAGGACAGTCCGCTTGCGCCATGCTGGCCGAAGGTTTTCTCAGAGTGCTGCTTTACAGGGAGGAGAGAAAGTTTGCTTCTGCTTCCAAACGACACAAAACACAGACGCACACTCATCGTCCGGACGCGTTGAAGTGTAGTCTCTCGGAGTCAGACTCTACAGACATACGGACGGATTCAACTGAAGCAGGTAAACAGCCTCATCAAATGTTTTAACATACAGATTACACAAATTACAAATTACCTGAGGTAGCGAGAAGTCTAATTTACCATACTCGTTTCATGAGCTAATTTCACATGGCCTAGTTCCCTTGCTTCCCTTTTACTAAAATGTTCTTGCTCTATCAGAAATTATTTTACTAATGAGTTCATACAATTTAACAAAATGACAGACCAAACTAAATTAAACTGAAGACAACTAAATGACCAGTTTATTTTCTGTAATCAGGTTCAAACCAGGAGGAGTTAGACTCCACCCATGCTCAGGGACTGAGAGTGCTGCCTCAAGATCCTGTAGGCCTCTCAATCCCTGGGTGTTCACCTTCCCTCGCCCTGGACCCTGACTTTACAGTTTACAGCCTTGACGACTGTAGCCTCCTGGAACAGTATCCAGACCTGCAGGTGGTCGACTCAGGCCGCATCTCACACAACCTACTGAGAGCCACTATCGCTCAGCAGGATTTGTACACTGCTCTCTCTGAAAATCACCAACATCCAGGATGGGCAGCCCAGCAGGAGCCACAAGGGGATCCTGTTTCATCCATACCAGACCAGGGATATCTGGTTATGGGGGCCAGTGTGAACATCAGCCTGGATCTGCCCGGATCAGGGTTGGAGCCCATGTCAAACTCTGTATTGAATGGGCTGCTGGAGAAACAGCTAGAAGAGGTGTACATGCAGCACCTGACTGACAACTTGGCTCGATGCAACTCCCACCTGGGGAACAGCCTCCTGCACGGTCTGGTGCCGCCGCCGCAGCCCGGCAGCCAGCCGCAGGGGCCAGACTCACTGGAGGCCAGTCTGGAAAGATCAGGAGGAGACAGCGACAAGAAGATTAGTTATCTGAGCACCCAGAACATAGTACCCTGCTCATCCAACTTCAGCTCCCCTGTACTGAGGATTTCAGAGACTGACAATACTCATCAGTAATGAAACGTGATGAATACATCCTGCAAAAGTATTAAATGTAATGGTTAGTTAAGCTTTTTTATGCCTCTGTACTTCACTCCCAAGTTTACACATACACATGTATAGATATGACTGTGAAATAGAGAGAAAGCGCAATTCACTAAAATAGTTCATACTTTTATTTTTAACTGTCTACATAGTGTATTTGTTAACTTGCTTGATGAAATGATGCCTCAGATTTACCTGCTCTCATGTGCCACCTGCTGTTAGATTGTTGTACTACAACACGCTGAATTTACCTGTTATACATGAGAATTTCTTTTACTGACATTATAAGTGGGTGTCTAATAGGCAGGTAAGATGATAGAGTAAACTGTAAGATCATTCTGCACATTGGGGAAACCTTGTAGACATGTATCCTGCAAAATAATCCCTATGGTATGAATAAACTAAAATGAAAAAATCTTGTCTTCTGCTTTGACAAGGGAAATAATAAAGAAAATATGCTCATTGTTTCCTTCTGTACCAGAATACAGCAGGAAATATATGATGTATCATGAGCTGAAGCACAGATGTTAATGCCGCATTTCTAAATGTGGAACTGAAATCTGATATCACTCTCAAATTACAGGTTACAGGTTTTTTTTGAAGCACAGATTAACAACTCCATCATTAAAGTTCTGAATCTTTTCTGCTGTTTCAGTTTCAGGTAATGACAAAAATTATACAAATCCAGTGACAGTTTTGTTTTCAATGGACCAACTGCAGCTGATGATACGTTACCTGATGATAACTTAATCTTGATATTTTTGTTTTTAAATTAGGGAGACAGTTGTCTACTGTCTATTATATATTTTGACTTTACTATGAAATATAATTAAGGGTTTGCCTGTTCCACAGATCTCAGTGAGGTCCAGCATGAGCTGACGGAGGAACAGCCTAAAGATTTATGATGCCTCTGCCTGCTTAAGGTTGATTTGTAACCTTTGAGGCTCAGATCCTCACGTCTGGGCCTCTCAGAGCTCCCACAGTGAGGGTAATGGTGATCCAATAACATGCACTAAATCACTTGGCTTTTTGGAAACCTAAGCCACTTCACTTATCTATGCTAAAAGATGGAAAATAAAGATTCCCAGAGTTTCTTTTCTGTAATTAACAGATTTGAGGTGACGGTTTCTAATCAGACTTTGTTACATACAATGTTAGTGAAGAGATTGGAGCATTTATGAACTGCTAATCTGAAAATTAAACGCAAACTAAAAGAAGATTTTACCCTTGGGAGATGTATAACCAAAACGGCTTATTCCATTTAAGTGAGCTGGATCCAGGATCCTTGTATTGTGCCTGCTGGCCCACTGGGACACTGAAAGAAACTGAGCCACTGCTAACAAAATCTGAATCACCTGTGCTTTTCCTACTGCGACAAGTCAAAATGTCTGCAGTGATAAAGGTTCACTGAGGAGAGGCAGCCAAGCTAACTTCATGTTAGTATTGCAGAGGGCTTCAGAAATGTAGACAATGCCACATTCAGACCTTTAAGGGAAGCTTGAGTCAAAACTATAAATTCTAGAGGCTGCACAACTTCGGATCCAAACATTTTCGAGTGCAGTGAAGACCTGCTGTCAACACAGTTATATTATATATCAACAAGTGATATTACCGTCCATGTACAAGAATTGTACTAGTATTGTATTGTATACCTGCATGGGCACATTTGCATAGTTACTCAGTGAACATATGAAAGCAGAATATGAAGCCATAACTTCATGGGTAACAAGATTCACTCTGGTAAAAAAAACTGTTTACAGCAACAGACTTAATTCACTGCAGACATTTCGACAGCAGTCGTTATTCTTGTTATTAATTACGCCTGTGCTTTTCCTGTTACATCAAAAACAAACCAGTGTAATATCACTGGGAGCCAATAGTCAGAGTAAGAGATGAAAAAAAATCTTAACTTAGCCCTAAAGTCACATGAGAAGACACCACTTTCTCATAAGGCATCTTTAATAAAGATTTTATAGAATGGTCCATATGCTCTGCAGCTCTTTTCCATAAGGCGTTAAACTCTCCACTGAGCAAACAAACAAAGCAGGCGATATCTGAAGAAGTCTGGCATCCTAAAACTTGTTCTTAACAGTGGCTTATTACTCACGAATACGTTTATTTAAGAAAACTTTTAGGTACAACAACAACAAAGTTTAAAAGCATGCGTCAGCAGAAAGTGTTAACAACGTCATTTTCTCTTTTTTGAGCTCTGGTTTTTATTATTCTGCAATCTGTAATTGCTTTATTTTTATTACTACATAACTAATTTCAATTTCAAATGGCAAACTATTCCCTGTGTGGTGCTCTGAAAAACTGGTTCATTTTCAATATCTGTGGTTATTGTTTCATCAATAATTCATCATTAAACAGATATTAGAAAAAGACAAAAATGAGCTTCAATCTGTTCTCTTGGAGCAGAGAAGAATGTGAAACAACTCTCCAAATGCTGCAAGAGATTTTAAAACTGGAGAAAAATATTTTCACATGCCATCTGTTTGAAATTTTGTTAGTCAAAAAAGCTGCACATGCAACATATTTTTAATATTAAGAGCATATTTGTTGTGTAGATGACCTGCACAACTAAATTCACTAACCCCATTATTGAAGCAAAAGCCTTATTCTGATAGCAGTCCTCACGTTGGCCATAAAGCTGACTAGACTGTGGGCATATTGAGATGATGTAAGGACAACATAGGAAGATGACAAGCTCTGAAATTATTAATAAGACCCTGGGAGGGAAAGATATTGTCTTGGCTGCAAATTAAAATCTTTTTGAGGATGTTTGTTCATTTCAGATAAAAAATCTCATGAACTCCATGATGTGCTATTCTAACCTGTTTGTTTGTCTGAAATGTGTGATGTGTGGTGAGTTTATCTTTCCAGTTATATCTGCACATATCTAGATATTAGAAATTCAAGAAATGAAGCACTGCTGTCACTATATTATACTTTTTCATGTCTCAGTATTAGAAAACAAAAGATGTCACCATTCATTTCAAATTATGTAAACTAATTTGTGTGCATGTGTGTGTGTGTGCGTGTGTGTGTGTGTGTGTGTGTGTGTGTGTGTGTGCGTGTGTGTGTGTGTGTGTGTGTGTGTGTGTGTGTGTGTGTGTGTTGAGCTCTGTACTGCTGGTTAGATATCATTGCTAGCTCAGGGATTCCTGTGCACATTAGTGGCTGCATGAGTTGTGGTCAGGTTGTTTTGTGTTAGTGTGTGTGTGTGTGTGTGTGTGTGTGTGTGTGTGTGTGTGTGTGTGTGTGTGTGTGTGTTTGGTGCTGTTTGCCCTCCCCCATGTCCATAACCCCTCTCCCATTCTCTCTCTCTGTCTCTCTCCCTCTCTCTCCTGTTGTCCCAGCATGGCCGCAGGATGGCTGCTCTGTGGACTCTCTCTCTGCTGCTCTCTGTCTGCCTGGGATGTTTGGGCCTGACACCCCCAGCTGACTTCCCTCAGCCCCACATTCAGCCCCCCTCACTGGGGTTCAACAGCAGCGATGGTGGCCTGTCTGTGGATCTGCCCATGGCTCTGAGGGTTTTCAGCGTGGACTACCACCATGTGCAGGCTCCCTTTGAGATCGTGCTGTGGATCATGCTGGCCTCACTGGCCAAACTGGGTAAACCTCAGATTTACTTCGTACAAGCTAACTTTTGATTGGATGTCACAGGTGGTTAGATGTTGTAATAGGTGTAAAACTGAACAGAGAATGTGGGAGTTACAGAATGTGACATTCATTCAGGGGTGGGAATGTTAATAAAAGTTACTTTTTTATAGTGATATTTAAATTTCTGTTACTTTCAGATCACTTACTTACGGTACATATTTCAAATATAAAGCCAAAAAAGGAAAAGGTTTGAATAAAATTCAGCTTGTTTATATCACATAAACAATAAAGGAGAATTTCTCTGTTCCACATTTTACAAAGAACTGGAACTTTAGTGCTTTTGTGAATTTCTTAGTTTCATTTTCCCTTTCTGTAATTGTTCACAAAAAGGCATTGTAAAGGAAACCAACAAGAGCATCTTGTTAACAGCCAACTCCATCATTATAAGAGTTTGTTTATGTGTGTAATGTGGAGAGAGTGTAAATTCTTGCAGCTCAAACAGTCACAACTCTGTTAAATCGAACTGTTGTGATGTCCTTTCAGCTGTTCTTCTCTCTCTCTCTCTACCCCTCAGGTTTCCACTGGTCTGGTCGAGTCCCCGCAGTCGTCCCAGAGAGCTGTCTCCTCATCATGGTGGGCCTCCTGGTGGGGGGTGTGATATATGGTGTTCGTCACTCCGCTCCCCCAACTCTCAGCGCTGATGCTTTCTTCCTCTTTCTGCTCCCGCCAATCGTCTTGGACGCAGGATACTTCCTGCCAGGGAGGCTGTTCTTTGAAAATCTCGGTACCATCCTCTGGTCGGTACACTGTCAATGTTCGATATGTCTGAGTGCAAAAACCTTTGAATACACTTTGTGTTTGGGAGGACACTTTCACTAAACATTTCAAAACTTTTAGACAGAGTTTTGTTTTAAATAGAAAGTTAAATTCTCCAGTTTGGATTATCAAGTTCTAAAATGTGCCAAATATGTCTATGTCACAGGGAAATATATATTGAATTTTGCATTGAACATATGTGGTGTAATTGAAGCCCTGAAACAAGCAGCTAAAAATATGATGGAGAAAGAAATGATGTTCCTATCAGCATCAGCTGTATTTTGTCCTTAGTGCTTATTAGCTAATGTTAGCACATTAACACACTAAACTAAAATTGCGAACATGGTAAACGTTGTTGTTGTTTGTCATTGTCAGAATGTTAGCATGCTGACATTAGCATTTAGCTAAAAGTATTGCGTGTTTATGTACGGCCTGACCCATAGACTCCCCTCAGTTTTGGCATCTTTCAGCTCATTGTTTTGGTTTTATTCTCCCACACCTTTACAACTGTTTGGTAAGAACCTGTTCTCCATATCAACTATAAGGTGATGATGTCAGTGTTGTTTACAGCTTGTTACACTGCCCACAAGTGACACAAAAAATGAATTAATGCAGATTTAAAGAGTTTATAAAGTTTAAAGAGTTTAAATTTAAGAGTTATATTGGGAACATGTGACTTCATTGGGTGTTATGAGGCCTGTATACTGTAAAGCTGTTGATTCTGTACATATTTCCAGGTATGCAGTCCTGGGAACCTTATGGAACGTGCTGGGCATCGGCCTGTCTCTGTACGGTGTGTGTGTGTTGGCTCAGAGCTCTCTGGGAGACGTCTCTCTGCTTCACTGCCTGCTGTTCGGCTCTCTGATCGCTGCTGTCGACCCTGTGGCCGTGCTCTCTGTCTTCCAGGAGATGCATGTTAACGAACAACTGCATATCTTGGTGTTTGGAGAGTCGCTGCTCAACGACGCTGTTACTGTGGTGAGGGGAGAGGTGGTG